TTAAGCCGGTATGAGCTTTTGAGTCTGCAGGACTGACGCCTACTTGGAAGATCTACTACCAGTTTCTCTCGTCCTTCAACCTTTCACCCCTTTCTTTGTTTTCTGGAATATCTGTGACACGAATCTACTGTTTTGTTTTTGTATTTGTGCACATCAGAGGCTTCTTCTTAGTTCCTACAGAAAAACCTTCAAATTCCTTGGAGCTGCATTCAAGAACCTTGAAAATTTTTGTTGAAGAAGTGAACCCACCACCCCAATCACTTTCCCTGGACTCCATTTCTAACGCTCCATACATCTGCTTTCCTGCCTGTCCACTCATTTACATTTCAATGTCCTCCCCACCAATTTCCTTTCCTCATGAGGAATGTATTTCATCTAAAAGTCTGTGGGGTGGTTTGAAAGAAAATGGTCCCCAAAGGGAGGGGCACTATTAGGACATGTGGCTTTGTTGGAGTAGGGGTAACTTTATTGGAGGAAGTGTGTCACTGTGGGGGTGGGTTTTGAGGTCTCCTATATGCAAGCAATGCCCAGTGTGGAAAACAGACCACTTCCTGTTGCCTGTAGTTCAAGATGTAGGACTCTCAGTTCCCTCTCCAGGACCATGTCTGCCTGCACATCAGTATGTTGCACCATGATAATAATGGACTAAATCTCTGAAAACGTAATTCACCTCAATTAAATGTTTTCCTTTATAAGAATGCCATGATCATGGTATCTCTTCACGGCAATAGAAACCCTAACTAAGACAGTCTGTCTTTATTTTTTATGTCATGATAGTATCTTTGCCATTCTATAAAGCCTTGTTTAAGCTACTTATCTTTGTTATCACCATATTTCTTGTTTAGATCTCCAGAACAACACTAAATGTATCAAATTGCTGGCATGCACAAGACTGTCTGCTCTTAAAATAATGAAGCCTTTGGAAGAAATGGCCTCATTATTTAGGATTGAATATCCATGCCCATTATAAAGCCAAGTGATCAAATTAATGATATTTATATTATACTTCAACTTTTTTTCCTTGTTCTCTTTGTCTTTCTTTTCTTCCTTCCCCCTCCCCCCCCCCATTTGTGTGTGTGTGTGTGTGTGTGTGTGTGTGTGTGTGTGTGTATGTCAGTGTTACTATGTACCTTGCCTGGCCTGGAACTCATTATATTGGCCAGACTGAACTCATTCATAGATCCTCTAACTATTTTTCCTGAGAGATAAGATTAAAGACATGTGCCACCACCCCTGGCTTTCCTCATACCTAAAAGTTCTTTGAGTAGCAAGATAATTTTGAGATCTGTAAAAATATTTGATTATATTATTTTACATTTACTGATCTTTTAAATTCAGAAACACATTTTAAGACAATCTGTGGCTTGATAGTTGTCATTGGATTCTAACATGCTGGCTTCTTAATTTTCTATTTAATTTAAAAATATAATCTAGATCTAAAGCAACTGTATTTTAAGCTTCTTAACATGTTAGCTATGTAACAGAATATGCTCAGAGGCTTTGGGTCAAATATGATCAAACTGATGATGTATATACATGATTTTAGGTTACCTGTTAGTTTTATGAAGATATTAAATCTAGGTATGGGCTTCTTATTTTAAAGAGCAATTAAGTTATTACCTAATAAGGGGTCCAAATATATATATATATATATATATATATATATATACACATTTATATTTATATTAACCCCTTTATGTATATGTATATACACAAAATGTGTGTATATATGTGTATCTATATATATTTGAGTGTATATATTTTATAAATACATATATTATATATACACACACACACATACACACACACACACATACAAAGAGCTCATCAATTACTTTCTTGTATTTTAGGTATATCGCATGTGTAGCAAATTTATAAATTTTAAAAATTACAATTAATATTTTATAGAATAATCTTTAACCCTAAGAATTGGTATAAGTTATGGGTTTACCAAAATGAAGAAAGAAAATAGCCACAAATAATACAAAATATCTTGATGTAACTCTAACCAAGCAAGTGAAAGACCTATATGGCAAGAACTTCAAAGTATTTGAAGAAAGAAATTGGAGAAGATATCAAAAATATATAAAGAACTCAAGAAATTAGACATAAAAATCACAAATAATCCAATTAAAAAATGGAGTATAGATCTAAACAGAATTCTCAACAGAGGAATCTCAAATGGCCCAGAAACACTCAAAGAAATGTTCAACATCCTTAGCCATGAGGGAAATGCAAATCAAAATGATACTGAGATTCCTTCTTACACTTGTCAGAATTAAGATAAAGAACACAAGTGACAGCTCATGCTGGAGAGGATATGGAGCAAGGAGAACACTCCTCTACTGCTGGTGGGAGTGCAAACGTGTATAGCCACTTTGGAAATCAATACGGCAGTTTCTTAGAACATTGGGAACCAATCTTCCTGAAGACCCAGCTATGCCACTCTTGGGCATATACCCAAAGGACACTCCATCATACCACAAGGACACTTGCTCAACTATGTTCATAGCAGTTTTATTTGCAATTGCTAGAACCTGCAAACAATCTAGATGCCCCTCAATCTAAGAATGGATAAAGAAAATGTGGTACATTTACACAATGAAATATTACTCTGCTGTTAAAAAAAATGAGTAGGAAATTTGCTGTTAAGTGAATGGAACTAGAAAAGATCATCCTGAATGAGGTAACCCAGAACCAGAAAGACAAACATGGTTTTTCCTCACTCATAAGTAGATATTAGCTATAAAGCAAAAGAGAAACATGCTACAACCCATAGGCGCTAAGTAACAAAGGGCTCAAGGTGGTGGGTGGGATGCATGAATCTCACTGTGAATGGGAAATAAAATGGACATTCCCAGTGGACATGGGGAAGGGTAGCTGGAAGGGGAGTGGGGGATGGGAACAAGAGGGATCATGTGCGGGAAGGATGGAGGGAGAGAGTACCAGGAGAGACAACCAGAGTCTGGGGGCATCTCTGGGGTGAGCTAGAAACCTAGAGCAATGGAAACTCCCAGGAATCTATGAGGGTGACCCTAACTAAGATTCCTAGCAATAGGGGATATGGAGCCTTTACCAGCCATCTCCTTAACCAGGTAAGACTTCCAGTGGAGGGACTGGGACACCAATAGATTGGTGCCTAACCCAAATGCTATCAGAGAGGCTTCACCCAGCAACTGATGGGAACAGATTCAGAGACCCACAGCCCAACATTAAGAGGACTTGGAGAATCCTATGGAAGAGGGGGGATGAAGAGTTGTATGAGCCATAGGGGTCAAGGACACCACAAGAAAACCCACAGAATCAACTAACCTGGGCTCATGGAAGCTCACAGAGACTGAACCGACAACCAGGGAACCTGCATGGGACTGGCCTAGGCACTCTGCATACATGTTACTTTTGTGTAATGTGATCTTCTTGTGAGAACCTAACAGTGGAAGCAGGGGCTGTCTCTGACTCTGATGCCTGCTTTTGGGACCCATTCCTTCTACCGGATTGCCTCATTCAGCCTTAATAGAAGAGGAGAAGCCTAGTCTTACTGCAACTTGGCTGGTTGATATCTGTGGAAGGCCAGTCTGTATTTGAAGAAAAATAGTGGAGGAGGAATTGATGATAGTGGTGGGGGGAGTAGAGGGAAGATGGAGGAAATTGGGAGGAAGGGAGGGAGGGGAAACTTGGGTTGGGATGTAAAAACAAAAATGTAATAAAAAATGAAGAAAGAAAATAAAAAGCCTTTAGAAAAGTGAAAATAGCTACAATATTTTCTAAATAGAAGATGGAGTTTAAAATATCATTTTTCTCTAAAATGACTAATGTATTTTCAGGTTTATATATTTTTATTTTTATAAAGTATTTGGTTAAACTAAAAGATCAATGAATACCTATACCTTACATATCAGAATTAGAAATTAATTTATTTTCTATAGAACTCTATTTTATGTTGAAACTGTGAAAATGTTGACAAATTATCACAAGACATTGCAACAAAAATAATAAGGGCATAAATTTTTTTATTAATGATATAAAATTTCCATCTACCTCAAGACTGATTGAATACAGTGAAACTTCAAAATATTTAATAGAAAATGAAATAAAAGAGAATTAATTAATGGGGTGCCATCTAAAAATTATTTGCAAGGTTTAAAGATGGAAAAACAGTAAATATAGTAAATATAGTAAGTTTGGATAGTCTCATTGATATACTCTTTCACTGATGCTGATTTAAATCTCAAATCAATGGTGAGAATTTTAATATACAAATGATGAAGTTACAACTGAAAATCAACAGCATTAACATACTTCAACAGAGATGTTAAGACTAAATTCTTCAAAGCAATATCAAAGGAGATGAATACAGTGAATTGTCTTGGAGCAATTGAAAAATATATGATACTCATGGTGTAGTTGACATCATATAATTTAAGTTGATAGTTTTGTTTTAAAGAGTTAGCCTTTTATTCTTGCTTCCTTTCCCCCAAGTACAATTTTCAAAATGACTTAGAGAACCTTTATATGTCTCCAAAGAAACTTGTTACTCATATATACGTGCATCTGGATCATCTGATAATACCTACCGAAAAAGGAGACATTTCCTAATCACTGGGTCCTTATTAATTACCCTTGAAGTATTAAAGGCAATGATGACCCATAAAGAGGCCTATTTAAAGAATACTTATTAAACAGCTAAAATATCTCCAGCAAGGGCAGGTTCATTTTGAAGGCAGTCATGAGATACATCTTCATCATGATCGCAAAGTCCTAGCACATCAGAAGCCCAAAGATAAAATTTAAGAAGTCTTTTTTCTTTTTTTTAAAAACAACAACAGCAGCAACATCAACCCTCTGAGCCTTCAAATATAAGAAATTCTGTTAACTAAGTAACGTATTAGTAAGAACAAATAAAAAATGAGAACATGAAATTAAGGAAACATGAACCATTATTCTAACAGCGTTAAAGAACTGAAAGCAAGCATGGTAAGGGAACAGGGCACGGAACTTACAGTTGTTGTATAAGCTGCTTCTGGATCATCTTCCAGTACTCGGGAGAGACCGAAGTCAGAGACTTTGCACACTAAGTTGCTGTTCACCAGTATGTTTCTGGCTGCTAGGTCTCGATGAACATATCCCATATCAGAAAGATACTTCATGCCTGATGCGATACCCCGCAGCATGCCGACCAACTGGATGACAGTGAAGTGGCCATCATGCTTCTGTGAGAGAATTACACCTGTTAGTTGACTGACATTAATACAATGTTCATACGTAGATGCAGTACATTAAGCCATGGATTATTGTACAGGATCTTTGAAGATATGCATCAATTCTGTTGACCGTTGCTTATCTTCCTAAAAAAGTACAAGACCCTTGTCTGACATTTAAAGGAGGAATAAAAGCTAACTAGAGGTGATGAAGTACACAAGGAGAGAGGGAAGCCAGTCAAGTCAACCTCCAGAGAAAATTACGTCAAAGAATTTTTTTTCCCAAACAAGAACAAACTCAAGTAAAATGGTATGAGAGAAAAGACTGCAGAGAATACACAATGGGCATTCCATATTTATAAGCTTTGCTGAAGTTGCACAAGCAGACAAGAGAGCAGCAAAACCTGTGACTGGGAGAAACTCATGTGGTAACCAGAAATACTGTGGGAAATAGCAATCACGCTAGGCCATTCAAGAAAAAACAAAGATACATAAACAAGAAATGGATTGAGGAAATCGGCAGATAAAATTGAAAAACACAAGTAAACAGAAAACTAGATGATTTTTTCCAAATATATTGGGCAAATATAAAAGGAAGCATTAGAAGTTGACTGGAAATAAGATATTTTAGCTCTTGGCAAGAAGAATTATACTAAATACCACAATGTGAATAATATGTCAGGCAGGATAGTGTTACACAACAATCAACACATGACATGTTATTCTCTCACCTAGAGTAAAAAACAATGCATAATCTACAAAACAGTAAGATCAGTCCAACAGTATTCTGTGCAAAATGCAAGTACAGGCGAAGTCAAATGCAGATAGTGGTCTTGATGTCGGATGAGATGCAAATACAAATAAACATAATGCATATCAGCTTTAACTTCCTAATTGTTTGGAGACTGTTGTCTTTGACAAGTTACAGAGAAGCATAAAAGGTTCAAGTCATTTTTATACACCAGGCCAAATTGATTTATGAATAACATTAAAAGTTTATATATATATATATGTGTGTATATAAAGTCATTAAGGCTATATTACATAGTAGAAACACACATAAGGATATTTTTGTGCTACAAGCTGTTTGTCATAAATATTTGATAAAAACCACAGAGTGTCTTAGGCACAAGAGATACCCACTGTATCTCTCACAGTGACACTGCCTCCTCCACAATGCCATCCCATTGATTATTTAGAAGAATAAGCTTACATATCAATGGTGCAAACTTGGCCTTATCATATCATCTTATCTCTCTAATATCTCTTGGATTATATCTCCAAAGTGCAGAGTAGAGAAAGGAAGCCTCTCTTAAAAGAAGCTTCCTCACAACAACTGTGTCCACTAAAGTAGGGTCTTCTGTATAATTAATGTGCAAAAGATAACTTAGCATAGAAAATCCTTGGTGTTATTAGCCCTTTATGTTCCCAATCCATCTTCATAGACAGTCCACTCTTAGATAGAATCAGCCTCTTCGATCATGTGTTCGACCTACCTCTCTGCTATTAAGAATCTCAAAACTTGAGAATTGAAAACATAAATTCTATTTTTTTTTTCTGGAAAGGGTTATACTACACTTTAAAGGCAACTCTTTTTCACAAAGTAAAGTTCTCCCAGATCATAGTTATTGTCAGGCAGAATCTCTACACAGTAGGAAGAGTTCAGGGACCATGAGGAAATAAGGAAAGCCTCATTCCCTTCTTCGTACAAGTGTAGTGATCCAACCCACGGTTTTGATGAGACTCACTTATAAAATACATAGGTGCCTCCTGGATTTTTTTTAATAATTGTTAACAGTTAATGAGTCTTTGTTATTATTACATGACATTTTATAACTACAATGAATCAGAAAATTCTGTTTTCTGAAAAACATGTTGTTACTCTAAATACCTACAAAAGGAAACAGGTACACAAAGTCATGTGGAAATGTAACTTCCAATCAATCCTGAGGGTGGCACAAAGAACAAAATTACTATTTAAAAAATGTCTTTTTTTAAATATCAAATGTGAACTGTAAAAAAAAAAATAGTGGGCTTCTGGATGGCCTTTATAAGCACATATACAAGGTATTTTTTAAAATAATTACCATCCTATTATTTATGTGTATTACTTGCTTTCCTTCTCGTTATTGGTACCATACCAATTTCTATAGACTCCCTTCTAGTTTAATGGTTTTGTGTTTTTGTTAATTTTGATTTTATTCCTTAAATTTCATATATGAGAGGAAATATGTTTCTAAGACTGGCCAGTATGTGTGTGTGTGTGTGTGTGTGTGTGTGTGTGTGTGTGTGTGTGCGCAAGCATGCACACTCACATGCGTATGCAAGGTTGACATTGGGTGTCTTCTATTGCTGTCCATCTTTTAAATTTTTTTTTATTTTCAGGTCAAGGCACCCACTGAACCTCGAGCTTACTGATTCAACTACATTGGCTAGCTAGTGAGCTACATGTGAGCTACCCCGCAGCTTTGCTTCTGTAGTCTTAGGTTTGCAGGTGTGCACTGCTCTACCTTGCCCTCTGTGTGGGTGCTTGGATTACGACCCAAGATCCCTTACGTGGGCATTTTACTGACTGAGCCATCTTTCCCACTCTGATAGTAACTAATTTTGCTTAACATGATAATCTTCAGTTCCATACATATTCTGGAATAATTACCTTGGTTTCATTCTTGTTTACTGGCTGAAGAATGTACCATTATATATATACACCATGTTTTCTCTTCTGTGAATACATCCATGGGTTCCTATGCTACCTCTATGATGGGACTATTGTGAAGAGTGCTGTGATGAAGGTACATCATACAAGTGTCTCTTTTTTATGCTGCCTTAGATTCCTTCAGGTTGTAACCCAGGAGTGGGTTTTATGGCAGTTCTAATTTTAGTTTTTTGAGGATTATCCATACTGGGTTTCAAATGACTACATTGTTTACATTCCCATCAATGCTACTCACACGTTTCATTATCATATCTTCACCAACATTGTGTCACATTCTTTTCAATGGCTTTAGTAACACAGAATTCCCACAGCATAACATTTATCCTTCTAAAGCACACAACTTAAAAGAACTTAAGAATTTTCTTCATCACTCCCAAGAGAACCACATAAGGACCATCATACCCTGCTATGCTCAATAATCCCGCCATGCTGGGCAACCACCAACCTACTTTCTACCACAATGAGGTTTTACATGCTCTCAATATTTTCTATGCAGAAACACACAGCTTTTTATGACTATCTTCTTTCACGTTGAACCCTAATGTTTCTGAGACTGTTTTGCATTGTAGCACATATCAGTGTTTTATCTCCGCATTGTTACATTTTATTCATTTAAAGTTAATAAATATTTGAATTACTTCCATGTTTTAGTGATTGTGCATGGAAGTTTTTAATGGTTTATTTTAATGTTGTTATTAACACTGGAAGAGATTTGGATTAACTGCTTTCCTATCAACTGCATGGCAATATATTTTCTACCAATGGTAAGCACTGTCATTTAAAAATTGAGATACTGGTATGTGAGAGAAGTCTGAACTACTTTGTACATGTTGTTTCAGAGGTCACACCATGTTCCTTATCAATTTCTAATTCATTTGACCAAGAATTATTTTGGGGTTCATAAAATCAAAACCATTTTTCATAATAACAACATGACATGTATCTGCTTTTTGTAACTAGGTTTGAATTTGTGTGAATGGTACAAAGCTCTAATAGGTAAAAGGTTAGGAGCCTAATATGAATTAAGACAGTAACATTCAAGTAAAAATAGATTGCTATCTTTATGTTCTTTTTTGCCGCATGTAGAGGATGCTGAACTGTCCTTGGTATAGTGAAGCATTAATTTCCCTAAATCTTGTCTGTGATTATATAACTGCATAATCAACACCTGTGAGACAGACTAAAAGCAAGAATGGACATGGGAGACATTAAATTCGCAGTACATTAAAAGTAGGCCTTCAGGGGTGGGCTTGGGGCTTGTATATTGACAATAATCAATTACCAATTCAGACTGATCCTGTAAAGGTCTAATGGCCTTTGGTTATAGTACTTTCTGCAGTCATGGCTATTTCCAAGACAGGAACTCTGGTAAAAGACTTTAACCTCCAAAGTGCCAGAAGTCCCATCATGTAGGACATTCAATCTGAGAGCTTACCCTAATGTCGTAGTTCTTGAATGCAAATCTTTTTATAATCCATTACCCTGATTAGCTACTGGTGACAATTTCTGTATCTTTCAATCTGTCTGCTTATTCGCCATCCATCCATCCATCCATCCTTTCATCCATGCATCTATTCCTCGTTCATAATATATCACCCAGATGAAAGGTAAACTCCAAAAGTAATGAAATATTATTTAAGGTAGGCATATCTTAATTGCTACTACATTGGCCTTGGGAAAATACACAGCATTTATAAATCACTATAAACTAGTGACACTCGTAAGTCTTCCAGATACTTTTCCATTTAATTCTCCACTCTGGAATCTAAGCGTAGTTATTATCACCTTTATGTACTGGCGGAGTTATGGTTTATAAACACTATACAATAGAGCTTTTAAAACTATTGGTCCCAACTCTATATAGGATTTTGTGATTGGGTTTAGGGTCAGCAGTATCTGATAATGGTAAAAGGCTTAAGAATGTGAAATGATGTCCCTCAACTGAAGAATGGATAAAGAAATTGTGGTATATCTACACAATGGAATAATACTCAGTGGAAAAAAATGACATCATGAAATTTGCAGGCAAATGGATGGAACTAGAAAAAATTATTCTGAGTGAGGTAACCTAGACTCAGAAGGCCAAACATAGTATGTACTCACTCATAAGTGGATATTAGATGTATAGCAGAGGATAACTAAACTACAGTCCTTAGCCCCAGAGAAGCTAGGTACCAAGGAGAACCCTTAGAGGGATGCATGAAGCTTCCTGGGAAGAGGAAATAGATGAGATGTCCTGGGTAAACTAGTGGCAGGGAAGGGGGAGAGTAGAGAGAAAGGGATGGAGGTATGGGAA